AGACAACATAACCAGGCATAATCTACAGATATTGCAGAATTCATTTTAATTGGTGTACAGCGCGAAAGACAAGTATGGACATAAAGAACACAATAGAGCTCTGCATCTCTACTGCATTTCTTTCCGTACTTGTGGACAGTTAGTCCGCAAGACTATATTCAAAAACTGCCAAATAGTTTAAGCCTACCCCTTTTTATAATTTTTTTCCTAGATTAATTGTAGCGAATCCCGGCTGGGTTCGGGTAAAGATCTCGCACGTGTTCAAGGACACATTTCGGCATGATTTCCCGCTTGGTGACGACGTTGAGCTGACCGCTGTTCCACTCCTTTTCTAAGTAGGCGGGGAACGCCAGACGCCTAAATTATCCAAGCAGCCCCAAAACTTGCGGTAGTACACCTTCCGAGCTCCTGGTTTTTTTTGGAGATGGCCTTCGCCCACCCTGACAAAGCCCAAACAATTATGTAAGGGCTGCAGAGGCTATCTGAGCATTCCGTTTCTTTATCAGCGAACAAATGCGAAAAGAAGAGAATGAAAACTTCGTAATACCTGCTGTCTTTTAATAAATGGCATAATATTGCTAGTGGCATAATATTGCTAGTTGCACTATTTTACGCGAAGAAAATTGTGATTTTGCGGTTCTATCTCCGTGTTTCCCGTTCTCTTTGCTGATACGCAAGATATTTGTCGGGTGTCAAGTTTTCAGTTACATTTGTCGACAAAAACTAAATGCACGTTTGGCCACGAAGAAATTTTTTTCAAAGGCTGAAGATAGATGAAATATACCATAAACCGTTTCAGTTTTTATCGAAGTTTGTTTTTACTCTTCTTAGTAGCTTCAACGAGGCGGCCGTCACTCTTGAAAACACCTGTAGTACGAACCTATATATTATGCCCCAGAAATGGTCAGACTGGGTCCCTCAGACTGCAATATCTTTGACTTGTAATTACTCATGATTATTACTTTGTACAAAAAAAAAACAAAAAAAAAAAAACACAATAGTGATATAATCACTCTTCAGTGTGCCGTTTTTAGAACGACGAATTTTCAACTCTCTGGGTAGAGCTCAAAGTTCGGATAAAAATACCCATCTTTTTCCTTCTGCTGTGATGTTCAAGTTCCGTTCACTCGAGATAAATATGCGGTGGTGTAGCGTGTGTGGCCGCATGCGAAAGTATCTGAATGTAAAAGAACTTGTTGTTGGGCTAGTTGGTGTTGACTATCTGAGTGTGTTTTAGAACTGCAGAAAAAGAGCAAAACGAAAAAAAGAAGAAAAGCGAGCCAGCCCGAACCCTTCCGAGCTCATATCCAGCCTGCCTAACTAATCCCTGGTTTTTGGGATTGAAGCAGAGAACCTTGAAGGGTTACAGAGATTTTGTCGGGGGGCCGGTAAGCCCATTAGCACTCGTGCGAGAAGGCCGTAAAAAGCGAGGAGGAAAATGGAGGAGGAAAAGGGAGGAGGAAAAAAAGAAAAGAGGGGGAATCTTCTGCCACGCTGAAGAAAATTTTGAGCCCCCGCCTTTAAAGGCCGACGGCCAGACTCGAGATTCTGCAAGGTATAGAAGATCCTCCTCACCATGGGGGAGGAGAAAACAGGCAACAATGGACAGGGTAGAGGGGGGGGGGAAGAGAGGGGAAAGCGAGTACTGGTGGATCCTTGAACCGTCTTCAAGCGTCCAACACGCAGAAGCCCGACGAAGGCCACCGCCAAGCGGCAGACGCGTCCGTCTTGGCGTCGTCGCATACTACAGCGTCGCAATTTATGTGAGACGTTGCAAAACGCGCCTTCGACGATGCTGAAGCAAGGTCAATTCACTAATAATAACGTTTTTTTTGTTTTTTTTCAGGGGGGGGGGGGGGCGAGGCAGTTTTTGTCCACAAGGTGGAATTGGTCGAATGCGCACACGCCGCCCTATACTGATTGGAACTTTAAATGGCCGTCATACCGAAAGAGTGTAATTGGCACCCAGCGTGCTGCATATTTTTCATCCTATAGAGTTACGATATAAGGTCTGCAGAAGAAGCTATTCGCCTTTAGAACTCGTTCGATGCCTTCCATCGTGCGTGACTGCGCACAGCTCACGTTCACGCGCCGAAGAGTTATCGATGAGACAAAGCTCGGGCTGGAGGCGGACCTTCTACTGCAGATTTCGTGTACGGCAGACCAAAGGTTAACATTGCTTGCGCACTGACCAAATCGTCCATCTACTGCGGAAAAGAGGGGCACCAAGGTATGAATAGATGATAGAAACAATTAAAAAATATACCGTGGGAATTGCCCCGTCCTGGTAGGAGGGGCTTTGCTAAATGACGTATACCAAAGCTCCAAGTCACTGACAACGCTGAGTCTTACCTGCGTCGCATACTCACACCAGCTGGATACCTCACGAACATTATGCTTAGCCGGAATCGGGATCTCGCCGCTCGTTTAAAATGTGTGTGGCAAAACTTAGTATGAAATGTCATGTGACACGGGTACCTAAAGCTTTCTGAGATCCACTGAAAGATTTGTTACATAAAGTGCCCATGGCGCTACATCCGATACTTTGCGATGGACGCAAAGTGTCGTCCTGGCTTTTTTTAACCTTACGTCAATGCAAATAAATTTACAGGCTTTTATTTACTGCGGAAGTAAGCTACGCAGCTCCAAACGCTCAGTCTCTGCCTAAATGTAGCACTAGCGGTCCTCATAAGATGCCAAAACTTCAGAGCTTGGCGTTGTCTGCTTCAAAAGTCTTAGTTGGCCCATTTCAACCGAAGATTTCTTGCCCGTCGTCAAAATAGTTCGCGCCAGTCCACAATATAATTTAATATTTCACTATTCCCCTCGAAAAATGCCTTTATAGTTTCTCCTGCTTTAAAATAGTACTTTCCTTGGCAGCTGTTCCTTCGGTTAGGGTGTGGTGGCCATGGTTGCAACTAGAACATTCTGGACGCTAATCCCGGAAAGGCTGGAGACTGGCTGTATCATGCCGCGGGTGTTAGCAAGAAGGTCGAACTTGCTCATGCTCGTTTCACATGATTCTTGTTTAGAACTATATGTGATGATGTAGTTCAAAGATTGATAAAAATAAAACGACAAAGAAACTTGCAAGTGGGAGTGTTCTGCATTGTTACGGATCTTCCCACGTCACACCAGGAACGTTATTAAAAAAAATTAGAATAAGGCGGTCTAGACTCTAACATATGGCGCGTGCTTGATGCCACGAGTTGCTACGGTCATCTCGAGTTAATTTTTGTAAAACTTGAGAACCTGTATTTCTTGTCGAAAACATGTTTCAAGTCAATGTGTTTGAGTATGAGAGCTTTGCGTGATTCATGCTCGCTAATACTTGGTAACCAACTTGCGCGGGTTATCCTTTCTAAAATACGGACCGAAATTGAAGGAACTAGACCATAGCTAGTTGTCAGGGCATCGAAGGTCCGTCACATTTTCCCGCGGCGTGCGGTAGACAGACACGTGATGCGCGACGCAGGTTAATTAAAACAGTGGGTTGCAAAGAACGTGTTTTAAATAGTAAGTTTTTAACTTGAAAACAGTACGCGCTGTCGTGAGTTTTACTAGAGTGCCTAAAATACGCTTTCGGCTGGTGTGTTTGGCACCCTCTACCGCCTAAGCACCAAAGGTGGCCCCGAGGTCTCAATCAACTACCATACTGGATTCGGCGTGCCATGCTCTCGATTCTTGTGATCCTTGCAATTAATCGTAAAAAATCTGGCAAAAAAAAAAAAAAAAGACACATCACGAGGGAACGCAAGTGTTATTGTCGTCGCAGCTTCCTAATTCTTGGCTGCTCAAGTTCCCGTGAACTGTGAAACTAGAGAGTGACATACAGCAGAACAGGTATCTGTCATATTCACCTCCGCCGTTGTACAAGCGCCATAATTGAGGCAGGCAACAGCATGACACAAGTGTGACATCATCAGGCGCAAACCAAGGGGTCACAGATGAAGCGGTAAACACAGCAGTCGGAGACGCCCTCCAGGAACCAGAAACCCCTTTCAAAAGTCACGTGCCTATTCTTAGAAGGCTCGAAGTTCCACGGCACAACGGCGGAACAAGCGACACCATAAAACGTGCCATTATAAATATTAAATATACATAAGCTGGCAGTGAAGTCGCACTAGTTGAATTTCCAGTATTTCAATTGTGATGGCTTCTTTTGTATCCGCCATTGTGCAGGAATTCTATAGTTTCCATTAGTCACACTTTCAAAAGGGACGTATTTGCCGGGCTAGTCATGGTATCTTTGCATAAGAGGAGGAACTTCGTCTAGGAGAGAAGTTTAAAGGTGCGGCTAAAGGCTTTTGATCACGTGTGTGACGAAACTCGCCCCGCAGTTGTCGGCTTCTGGGTTTGGAGGAGACGAGAAACGTCTAACCCAGGGCTTATCAACCGTGGGTTCGTATTTTGTTAGAACGCGTCTGGAAGTTATTAGTTATTAGAACGCGTCTGGAAGTTATATCGCGTTTTTGCAAAAACCAAATCCTAGTTCGAAAAAACAAAACAAAAAAGGTAGGTTTTTGAAAGACTTATAAAAGGTAAGACAGCCATTGCTAGGCGTAGCAGACAACGCCGGCGTTTGAAAGCCAGGCGCTGACGCCGTCTACTTCTTGCACTCTGCGCGAGAAGCCGACGACGGCCTTTTTCGCTCTGATTGGTAGAAGGCAGTGGGCAGAGGACAGAGACAGCTGTAGTCCGTTGTAACTCAAGAAGGTAAAGCGAGGGTAAGACGGGCCAGGGAGGAGGAAGCAGACGAAACGCTGGAGAAGAGAGGGGGAAACCCCGTCCTCTCTTAAGGTTTCCGTCTACTTCCTCCTCCCCGGCCCGTCTTACCCTCGCCCTACCTTCTTGAGTTGCAACAGACTTTAGTCTTCGCGTCCACTCACACTCACTATCCTTCCGCTCTGACGTCGCCGTTCGCCCTCATGTTTTCTACCGTTTAGTTTATCTCTGTGTAGCTTGGCCGTCCAGCAGCGGGGCTCGGAAGGAGTGCGTACCCTTCTTGGCCTGGTTGTTGAAGTATTTCTTCTGTCGCGCTCTGGAATTCTGGAACCAGACCTGGGTGACGCGCTTGCTCAGGCCCGTGATCTGGGCGATACGCTCGAGGTCCTGGCCGTCCGGGTTCGAGTCCAGGTTGAAGTTGGCCTGGAGCACCTGCAGCTGCTCCTCGGTGAAGGTGGTGCGCACGCGCTTCGTCTTGGCCTTGGCGCCCGAGCCTCCGGACCCGCCGGAGCCGCACTCCTGCTCGCTGTTCTCTGCAAGCGCGGACACGTCACTGTCAAAGTTAGAACCTGACGACCCCCTGAGGGGGGTCACGTGACCCCCCTCAGGACCTCCTCAAGGGGTAACGTGTCCCCCCTCAGGACCCCTCTCAGGGGGTTCACGCGACCCTTCTGAGGGATGTCACGGGGACGTTTTGGCACGGTGCCGAAACGTCGCCTCGCCGAAACGTCGCAGTGGTTACGCCGACGGCGACGCCGCTGAAGCCGGAAACGGGCGCCTCAGAGCTGCACTCTAAAAAAATGACAGCCTACAAAAAAAGAAAAAAAAAAAGAAAATGCCTTTCTAAGGGTTTATACATAGGGGCTTTAGAGTTTTTAGCCAATAAACCTGTGGGAAAAAATATTGATCAAGCTCGAGTTAGAAATAAACGCTTACCCTAGTAGAAAATGTTATATGTATAAGATATTTCTATGTGCAATAAACGCATATGATCATATAAGAACATGCAAGAACTTTATAGGAACATATAATAACAATTAAAGAAATATATAAGATTAAATAGGAATTTATAAGAAACTGTTAAGAAGTTTTTATAACTTATATAATCATATGTTGTGCTTGTATGTTCTTATATGATCTTATTTGATCGTATGCGTTTATTGGACATAGAAATTTCTTATACATATAAGGTTTTTTACTGGAGTAGTCTGCTGTGGCATTCTATTTATGCAACCGCCTGAGCGTATCTTCAACTTCTTTCTTCATCGGTCACGAGAAGGGAGCCATCATTATGGCCTAGATTCCATGATTTCATTACTCGGGTGATAGCACATAATTATAACCTTGCTCTTTCGTCGGGTGCGTTTCCCACAGGCATGAAAATAGCTCAAGTAACAGTTTTGTTTTAGGCAGGATATAGAAATAGTATGGGCATATCATTCAATATCCATTCTTCCTATTTTTTCAAAAGCCTTAGAAAAGCTTATGCACTCAAGAATTACAAATTTCTTTGATCATCGTAATGCATTAATAGAATCTCAGTTTGGATTTAGAACATTTAGGTCTTTTGAGTCTGCATTTTTGCACCAAAAAGAAATTATTTTAGACAATTCAGAAAACAAGTTAACAACGATTGGCATTTCTGATTAAAATAGTGAACATCTTATTAGCAAAACAAATAATGTCCTTTCAAAATTAAAATCCTGGTGCATAAAAAATTCCCTTCATATAAATGCTAGCAAGAGCAAGGCTATAATATTCCAACTACATTCCCGAACTCAAACAACCTCATCATCTATTCTGAAATAGGGCACCGGTATTACTCAATAAGTTGAAAATGTAAAAACTCTTGGTGTATTTCTTTTTCTTATAACATGTCTTGGAATGACCATATTAGACACTTTCGCCCTAAACGTTCTAGAATAGTGGGTGTGATAAATATATATAGAAACATTTTACCCACGGTGTCAAAATTCAACTTTTTAAATCACCATTCTATCCCATCTGATGCTACATGCATCTAGTGTGGGGGTCTACCGGCACGACGGATTTAAACTTACTTCGGATATGGCAAAAAAAGCTCTACGAGCTGTAGCTAATGTCTCTTCAACCCCATCCTTGCCTCTTTTTGAGAAGTACTTGACGTGATCAGTGGCGGATCCAAGGGGGGGGGGGGCGGTGGGGGCGATCGCCCCCCCCAAACGCCTCGCCAGGCAACCCCCCCCCCCCCCCGGGGCTCTTCGTCAGCTCGAAGAAAAAACGTAAGCAATCGACGCAAGAAACAAAAGATTAAAACAGAGGTGGGTGGACGCGCCTGCTGGGCGCTTCCAAAGTGGGGTTTATCTCCGTCAAGGTCACGGTACGTCTTCCCGACAGGGACGGCGCCAGGAGTTTCGAAGTGGAGAGACAGTGGGGAGGCGCACCAAATATCAGGGTCCTCGACTACAGGCACACTTGCAAACAAGGCCAGTACGTCGAGCACGGGGGAAAAATACCTTCAACATATCTAGTCCCCTTTCTCTCTCTCTCTGTCTCCCTCTCTCTCTTTGGGGGTTGTCTGCGAAAAATTTGTGCCCTGAAAGCTCCAAAACGCAGACGTCAAGCAGCCTTCCTCAAGGGTAGCGGATTATCCTTCCTCTCTAGCGGCCGCCTTTTCATCACTTTTCGTTTGATGGTTTCTTCGTGGTTCTGGGCTTGTCTTTTGGCATGTCTTTTTTGGCTTGCTTTGAGATGCTGTCGCCCACGGGCTCACTAAAGGTATCTTATTGGCACGGTGTGCTCATTGCCAAGGGAAGTGCGGAGGGGACGTACCGGGAGGAGACGTTCCAGGGGGGGGGGGGGGGGGGGTGCAGCTTGTACAACCAGGAGAGAGGAAGCAAATGCTCTGGGTACAGTGTAGTCTGGGTCTGAGCTTCTCCTGAAGACGCTCCGGACTTCCCCACGACCTTGGCTTAAACATAAGCCCGCTTTCGCCCTCGCCTCCATCCCTCGCTGAGGATCAGCGCCGCAGCGCGGAATACAGAAAGAAGCCGACGAGCGCCAGAAGGGGGAGATGTTTCCTCTAATGGGCTTCATACTGCCTCCGGTACGACTTCTCGTGGCGGGAAGCTAATAAAAGAAAGATAAACGGTACGAGCACTCTAAAGGCTGAAGGCTGCTTACACGGGGTCCTCAAGCATTTATTTGTATACAATGCCGTTTCAACTTAGGGTGGCGGGACATATTTTAGGAAAGGCGCCCGCTACCCCTTGTCTCCCCTTGGCGCCGTCTTTTCCAGTTAAACGCGGCTTCTGTGGATTGACGGCAGAGCTTTCGCGCGGCTTTGCAGGAGCGAATATGTGTGTGTCAAACGGACTTGGGGTAAACGAGGCCCTTTCAAAGATGCGGCTATACATAAATTAAATAGACAGTGCCTGTGCCCGTTCGAGTGAACACCGACTCCCAAACATCCATGCTCCAGTCGTGATCGGCCTTTAGCCCAGTTGAGATTCGCCGACCTTACAACCGCTCTGCCCTATCATATCTCTGCACCCGTCCTCTTGACCCTGACGAATGAGCTAACTACCCAGAAACAAATAAGTGTTCTTTTGATACGGAAAATATCCAGACGAAGTGCAATTGAATATAATTTGGAAGGATCCATTGCTGGTTTAAAGTCTTGTCTAAGTTCAAAAGTTATAGTTGCCGAACTGCAACATGCTTTCAAAAATATTCAACAATTATTCGCTTTCGTTCTCTTGAATTGCATCCAGAACACGTGAAAACACGAGTTTGGGTTGGCAATGCCGCATGTGCTGAGCTCTCTACATTCCAAATATACGGCGAACAACCGACGAACTTGCATGGCAGCGTTCGTTTCGCTCGCTGCGTCAACAGTGTTTTGACGCCGCGAGCAGCGTCGAAGTCGCCGGGCCATTTTTGTCGCTTGTTTGCAACGTACTCGCTCCGCTGATTTAAGCCGCTCTTCCCGTTGCTGCAGCAGTTGAGCACTAGCTCCAACCAGAATGTCTGCCAAGGCAATGTCTTTAAGCTGCCCTAAATCGACTGCTCACGTAGTGTCGGTCTGAAACCCAAGTTTCAGAAAGGATAGTGTCACCACAATTCTTGAGATACTTACCTCTAGCGTGGTCACCCGAAAGGTTTTAATTCAAAGAGTTCATCCCCGACAGGTAAACCGATACAAAAGCTCTCAAGATCTATATCATGTTATCAGAGTTTAGTAAAAACGATAACTCCACAAAAAATATAAACACTCCCCCCCTCCCCCCCCCCCCCTCCCGCCGTTTTACGCCGAGGAACCGCCCCCCCTAAAATGGAGGTCTGGATCCGCCCCTGGACGTGATACTTGTACTGGTAATACTTGACGTTTCAAAAATGTATGCACATCGATTAAAATTAACATTTCATACTGCGATGAAAAGTAAATATGAAACATTTCTCGCAATTGCTGCCCTTCATTTGCACGATTCCATTCGTCAAACCCGTCAGATACATCCATAGCACATGCACTTAAACATGCACTTCCCGAGCTACTAAATCATATACATCATTAGGAATTGATGTTATGTCAGTGAGCAGGAATGATATCCCTTGAATTGTATAATACTTAAAACATACCCTCTATTTTATTTTTTTCCCGCTAATTTTGTTTTATTAATTTATGTCCTTTTTGCTTTTTTCTCTCGTGTTAGTGTTGCTTGCCTTGTAGGGGTACCAATGGGCTGGTCAAGCTGCAAATAGCAGCTTTTTCCCGTTGGTTTTCTCTTATAATTTGATGTAAGTAAAGAAATGTTTCAAAATGTTTTAAAATGTTTCAAAATGTTTCCAATAGTAATCGTAGTTTTCATTTGGATTTCGGAAAGGGTCTATCGAGCGAACGCTTTTCACCGGCACGCACCGTTAGGCTTCACCGTGCGCGCCGGTGCAAAGTGGTGAAAGTTGACCCACGCGCGCCGGTGTAACGCCCGATTCACGCGTTGTGATTTTACCTGCATTATGGCAGTTGCGATGCCGCTCGTGCAAAAAAAAAAAAAAAAAAACAAAAAAAACAGCATTGCCGAAGTTGTTGTGCTGGACGCCGCATCTACGCAATCGCAGGTAAAATCGCGCCGTGTGAATCAAGCTTAGTGCGGCGAAAATTGACGCGCCCGCGCCGACGCAAACAAGAGGTAAGGACTGACCTGCGCGCTCCGGTGGAAAGCAGGCAAGCTTCACGCTTGCGCGGCGGTGAAAAGCAGCGAAGGTTGACAACGCGATCGGCGTAGCGTGAGTTATTCTCAAATGTTCTTGATATCCGCGTACTGGATGGACAAGAGCGTTCGTCTAAAGCCTGGTTCAGACAGTTGCGTTTGACTGCGTTTGACTGCGTTGCGGCTTCGAGAAACCAGGACATCCCTGCTGCTTATATCGCGTGCCAGGATGATTCCTTGAATTGGATTCCACGCTTCATACGAAGCATAGATGTGCCGGTGACTCGCTTTCGGTTCCGGACGCAACGCAGTCAAACGCACTCAAACGCAAGTCTCTGAACCGGCCTTTATAATGCTACGGCAAGCAATCGGAGTTTCGTTTTTATTCATTGTATCTTTTATTTATTTCGTAGTGGGGACTGGGAAGGAATAGACCCTTTTCAAAAGTCAGAGTCCTCTTGTGGCAGTATAAAAAGCTCCATTATTGCCGCTCTAATGGCGGTGATAGGAGATCATGCGCGGCTAAATCAAACACCCTCGATTCCGTGCATCGAAGGTGACATGAAAGGACCAACATCTTTTCCTTTTTCTGCTCTATGCTTTCGAAGACGTTCGATTTTTCTGGTGTGGAGAAACAGTGTAGTTCCGCCATTAGAGCGTCGGGTCTGGCTCTGCACAAGGTGGGTAGACTGACTTTCGTAAAGGGTCTATTGAGGCAGCATAGACAATAAAATTACTTCATCAATGACAACAGAATATCGTCACATTAAGCCAATCTCGCTGCTGCTTGCTACAAGTTAAAATCCCTCGATGCTTTACTAATGTGAGCTATTGGCGAGGAAATCGAACTATTAGCGGCGAGATGTTTTGGTGACGCCTTCCTATGGTTTCCTCTCGTGACGTCATTACCTCGCAAACAACAAGCTCGATGGTGTTTGTAATGAGCATGGCGGGAACTTGAAGTGATTGCGCTGCTGCGACACTGCCACAACACCGTCAAAATTAACGTTCTTGCATTACTCTTATATATGTCGATGAGAAAGTCCTTGCTGACGTTATAATCAGCCTTCGGCCAATCGTGGAAGGCGACGGCTGAGCGCGTGCTAATGGCCGCCTTCCGCAGTTCTTTTGCAACGTGCAATCCACACCATCAAGACTGGATTCTTTACTCCACCTTTCTCGATTGAGCGCGGGGCAAAGATTGGGCACGACTCGCACTCAATGTTTCGCTGTGTCCGCGTTAGGCTTCACTGATTGAACACAGCGGAACGCTGATTCCCAAGTTTGGCTACGTGGGCAGGGCGCTGCGTCGAAACGCGAACAAATAATCTATTGTTGTGGTACCCATCGGTGCAGTTTTCAATTTAGCCACTAGGGGCGCGAAGGTTGGATCTCCTTCCCAAGACGCAGATTATGCACCGCTACCAAACCAGCTTCCTTCTTATTTACTGTGGAACACCCCAATCTCTCGAGGAAAAAGACAGGAAAAGAAAATTTGTAATGAATTAGACGATTAGCAAATGACACCTGTTGAATGTCGCCTAAGCCTCGTTTCTAATGTCTGTCTGGGAACACTGACAGGTTTAGTGACGATGCCTGTCTCGCCTAGAACGATGGCCTCACTGGTGCCCCACGCGTGCAAGCATGCGCAGCGTGCGTCTGAACGTATATCTTCGGCAAGCCTATAATTGCACGCACTTGCCCGCACGAGCAGAGAGATGGCGGCGGCCAGATGCACTGCTTGCAATCGTCTTAATTGTCCACGTCAGCCTCGCAGCAGACAACGTTGGCAGCAGCTTTATTCGTCCCGAGACAAGCTACGTCACGATTGCGTCGGATGTCACATGCTCTCCGCTGGCTGCTCTCCGACCGCATGGTAGAGTGGGCCGTTTATAACGAAAAAATACAGCCACCAGGCTTAAAATACAAACGTGCGATTGTCATTTACGGAAATTGTGGATCATATTCAGCCTATATCTGAACACGACGGGTGTATTTCAAATATCGTTGAAGTCTCCATTTGATAGGTGTATCATGAACGGTGTTAAGTGGGCAAGCCGCTTTATGAGCGAGTCAAACTTCACATGCCCAGTTGAACCATGACTCAAGGTGTTGCAGTCAAAGAACTACTGGTGAAAAAAAAAAAAAAAAAAAACTGACATTGACGATTTTGAGAACTTTTCTTTGCTAAGCGGCCAAACAGACCGCTCTCACAGCCAGTTTTATTACGCCACCACTGTCACCATGCATCGTGGGAACTGTAGTTTTCTGCACGGGGGATACCTGTACATATAGATGGGAGCAAAATGTTTTCTGTAAATTACAGACCAATGTCAATATTTAGCACCTGCTCTAAGTTGATACAACATGTCATCGCCAGTCACATTAGCTTTTGTTTAGACAACCAGAACATATTAGTGGACTTTCAACATGGATTTAGAAAACAACCGTCTACCACTACTCAACTACTTTCAGCAGTGCACGATTTCGGTAATGCGATTAATAACAGAGAAATTAATGCAACATTTTTAGACCTAAGGCCTTCGACAGGGTACCGCGTCACCTATATACCACTAATAAAATTGCAGTCGGTTGGCATTGCTCCTCGCCTTGGGGCGACGAGCAATCACTGCTTATTTGTAAAATAAAGTGCAATTTGTCGAAATCAACGAATGTCAATCAGTGTATCTCGGCGTGCTCTCTGGCGTGTTGGTCTTAGGACCACTCTTGTCTTTAATTTATGTAAACGACATAGCTGACAACATTGATACAAACGTGACTGGAAATATTTGCTGATGACTGCGTTGTTTATAGAGCTGACAGAAACACGTTGGATCAAGCATCGCTTAACGCAAACTTTTGCGAAATTTCCGAATGGTGTGAGAGGTGGCAGATGGTTATGAATTACTCTAAAACATGTGCTCTCACAGTAACATGCAAGAAATTCCCTTTTTGCTTTGCATACCACGTAAGACACAAATTAATCCAAACTGTAAACGAAGTAAAGTATCTGGGCCTAAATCTTAATTCAAAATTCAATTGGGAAACTCATATAGATAATATAACTGCAAAGGCTTAAAAAAGTTGTGTTACATAAGACAGAATCTGGGACCATGTGACTCGTCGGTAAAACTTTCGGTATATAAAAGTTTAATTCGACCAGTGCTAGAATATAGGTCCATCGTGTAGGACCCGTACTTAATAAAAGACATTGAAAAAGTTGAGAGAATTCAGCGCCTCAGTGCACAATTTATTTATTTCGATTTTAAGCGCCTATCATCAGTGTCGGACATGGTACGTAAATTCGGCCTTGAGTATCTTGAGTCTGAACGAAAAATGCTAAGCAATTTTTTTTATAAGATTTACAATATTGTAAATGCCTAGTCAAAACCTTATATCTTTTTATTTGAAAATACTGTCAGCCCTCGCTTGAGGGCTATTACAAGGAGGGTATTCATCGTTGTGATGACACATAAAAAACGCAAGCATAAGGAATGGACAATTTAGCAGACACTGCTCTTCGAACAAGCAATGAAAACAAGGCACAACTTTGGCCCTCTACACAAATAAACAAATAGAACAAATTAGCCCACATAATTATTACAAATTGCACACTTAAACAGCATCACGTTAAGCCATTATAATGTTAACAGCATTGCAATGGAATCTTCAAAGGAGGACACGGTTCCTAAATTTGCAACTTTGGGCAATGAATTCCAAGCCTCTATAGTTTTTACAAAGAAATAATGTTGAAATGCGTCCATTTGGCTTTTATAGGTTTGGCATGTTTTTGTATGATTCAGTCTACTTGATCGCTTCGAGCTTGAGGGAGAACGTACTTATTTCGGCTTAAATTTAGTTTGTCGTTGATCATTAAATAAAGCAATTTCAGACGTGCGACTTCTGGTCTTATGAGCAGAGGTTCTATATTACTAGCTTTGAGCATTTCCCTTGGGGTCTACGTACCCGCAAAACACTCGAAGAGCCAACCTCTGCGATCTACAAGATCAGCTCAGCGAATCATGAGGCGGAACATCTGTTTAAACCTCAAACTTTAGTCTGCGCTGTGGCATTACGCAATAGGAAGCGTCATGCTTGCATTGCGTAATACTCACCTCAAGCGGCAAACAAGCTAAAGCGTGAAGAGACTACGCCGCAAAAGCTGCCGGCGCATGTGTCTGGCGTTGCCGCATGCGGGCGCCGCGCTCGTACAAGACGTGTTGGCGGCAACCCTGACGCAACCTATCCGCGTCAATATGTAAATCCCCTAATGTTGACGTTTCTTCTCCTATTTGGGGGGGGGGGGGGGGGGCGGGGGGGGGGGGGCAGGCGTTGGCTCCTCTACTTGTCTTTACCTCGAGAGAAAAGTAAGTTTTGCGCCACCGTTCTTAAGCCGCGCGAAGTAGTTCTTACAATATCTAATTGTCGGAGGAAAAAGCGACGATTATGGCCTTTGAAACGTGTACGTACGTCTTGATAAGATAACATATATCGAATCTGGAATGCATATATACTAATCCTTTACATAAAGGGGAAAAATTAATAATGCTACGCGAGGAGCTTAACTTTGTTTTTTTACTACAGTTTTTGGGGTAAAACGAGTATAAGCGATATTGGCGATGCAGAGAAGAGCGTAGGTGGAATGCAGACTGACCATCGTTGGAGCCGGAGCCGCAGTCGAGGAGCTCGAAGTAGTGGGTCTTGCAGAGGACGCGTCCGTCGTGCAGGGCGAACTCCTCTCCCGTGGACAGCTGCCTCTTGCAGGCGTCGCAGGCGAAGCAGGCCAGGTGGTACACCTGCTCCCGTGCCCGCCGCACCCAGTCCGAGGCACCGATGGCGCGGCCGCACTTGGCGCACTTGGCCGCGAACTGCCTGCGCGGGACAGGACACTGAAACAGGCGGCGGAGCGGCTTTTGGCGCTTGCAGTAAATGCAGCTTAAAAAGAACCCCTTCACACTCTTGAGAAAACAAACAAACATCGGTGTACCTCATACAACCCATATTTCATCGCTACGATGTGGAAGACCATTTACCATATAGGTGACCGAGGGGGTTAGTTCATCGGAGCTTGAAGCACCTAGAGCGAAAGCGCACGCTGCGGAACACGGGATCCCGATATTGGTTTCAATAAACCGACCTCACTAAATGTCCGGCGCATGCGTGACGCCGCCATAACATTAGTTAGCAGGAGGCAGACGACAGTGCACGAGAGGGCTCGTGCCGTCTCGGGCTCCACTCGCCCAGAGCTCCAGCGGGGTTGTCGCACGTGCAGAAAGACTGAAGTTCCCTCGATGCATTGCGCCAGAGGTGGCGTATAGTCAAACTGACTGGTGAGATCGGTCTGTTCCACCCCTACCCGTTCCGATCAGCATGAGAATCGTACCATCCTGCGGTCGTGTATCATTATCCTGCATGGTGCGTTCTAGAGATCACAGACTTCCAGCGGAGCTGCTATGGATGAATTTCTTATCTACCGGGTGTCCGAAATAGCGGCCAAGCTCTTTAAATCGACCGCAAAATTCAGTTTCTCAACCTATCGCGCTACAAGTTTGTGCAGCGTTACCCACAGGTGGTGCATTTTTTCTATAAAATTTGCAAAGAGCAAACTTACCTCAGGAAAAAAGCAAAAAAAAAAAGGACTTAAAGGGGCACCGACACCCCGAAGGTCGTATTTTTTTTTATTTTCCAAAAAACGATGCAAGTTGTAGTCATAGACTTGCAAAAAAAAAAAAAAAAAAAAACGCATCGCGAAAAACAATTTTCCTGCGCGAGCGCGCGCGCCTTTTTATTTTTGGCGCTTTTTTCTCCCGCTCCTCACCTCCTTGCTTCTTTTGATTGGTGACGTCAAAAATCATAAACTTTAGAAACTTTGTAGGTGACATTTTTATAACATTTAGTAACGGCAATCGTAAAACATTTTTTTTTTAACGCAATTGCGAACGCCCTCCTTTTTGAAATACCGAAAATCAGAGTCCGGTGTGATGTCGCCTCCTGGATTTGTATCCTCCCTCGGAAAACTTGGCGCCGCTCGACGCACATAGCAGAGGATGGTCGGTGAGTCGGGAAATTGGTCAAGGAAACCGGTTTTTCCCGGTCCGCCGGCGCCCTTCTCTGTCGCTCCTCACTTCCTCGCTTCGGGTCGCGGTGGTTCGGAGGCGCGAAATTAACTAGACCCGCAGGACTCCGCAATATGTGACGTCATCGCACTGGCGCGGATCGCGCGGGAACTTCAAATTCGGCATTTGGAAATTATTCTTTTACTTAACAAATAGTGAATTTCCGTGAGGGTATTAATGTCCTGGCATTGTCTTCAATCGTTTCGTATAACAAAAAAGAAAAAAATGATTATGATGTGCCAGTGCTCCTTTAACTCCGATGGAAACGCAGCGAAGTCACCAGTTTTTAAACAATAGGGCGCCCTATTGATTGAAGACCGGTGGCTTCTCTAGGTTTCCATAAGAGTTAAGCCTTTTTTTTACTTTTTCCTCAGGTAAGTTCGCTCTTTGCAAGTTTTATAGAAAAAAAATGCACTACCTGTGGGTAACGCTGCACAAAATCGTAGCGCGATAGGTAAAAAAAACTGAACTTTGCGGTCGATTTCAAGAGCCTGGCCGCTGTTTTGGAAACTCGATAGAGCGTACACCCGTCTCGTTAAGCCTCAAAAGCCGATGAACCTCACGCTGTCTAAACACGAAGGTCGAATTTGCTTTGCCTCGGTACCATACGAAAAACAAAAAAGTGCACGCGACATATTACATGCACTTTTCTAAATGAAGAACGCACGGGTCAGTTCGATCTTCAGGGTAAGATTAACTAGCCCAATTACCCGTTTAAGTCAATTGGAGGTTTTGTCATTGTAATCTACCAAACTTTGTGTGTTAGATGGCACATACAATGGTATTTTTTTCTCGCTCTTGTTTTAAATTCTCTCCCAAAAGGGTTGTTTTATTTAAATGGATGATAAGCATAACAGTCGAAATTTGTTTTAATGTGTATAATACGAGTGTAATATATATATTCGTACGAGTATGGTGCGGCCGGCAGCAAATGGAAAAAAAAAATGGTGTGTGTATGTTTATACAGCCGGTAGTTAGCCCCAATGTGCGTCTGGTGTCCCGGGTGCAGAGTGTCGAAAACCGGAACTGAACAGATATTTTTAACCAAACGGGAACTGAATCTTCGCCGCCGTCTTGGAACTGAACCGGAAGTGAACCGGAATAAAATATAACGTTAGCCGCTTCAGAACAGTTCACAGTAATTTTGTTTTGCATTTCAAAATTAAAGTTTTCAGAAATAAAAATTCGCAGCTGCATTTTTATGCAGTGATCAAATTGGCATATACCGAATAGCAATGCATAAAAAAATTGCGGGTTTTCGTGCTGCTTTTGTATCGGCAATATAATTAATCATGTGTCACGTGGCCACCTGACGTCATGGTGTAAAGACATGCTGTCAAACAATTTCACGTCACGCGGCCCCGTGACGTATACACGTGACTCTCTGCGTGAAGTCGACTTAAGTTGAGAACGTCATTAGATTTATTAGCGTTGTTGTCACCGTGACGTCACATGACATCACGACTTTTATCACCCCGAGTAATGTGACACCGTGACATACTTGATTGTCATGAGCCCGAGTCTAGTGCTGTCGGGTTCATGGCAATCAGCATCGCCAAACAGTCGGGTAATGGCTCGTGTTCAATGAAATATAAGAATAATAGAACCCCAACAATGTCTGAAGCTTCCCTCATGCTTTGTTCTTTGCCAACCCGAGCGCATGAGTAGAATGAACACTGGTGGTATACAATTAGCGTCAAATCGTATCGCGGCTTGTTCAAATAGCGAGTTGAGGAGGGGAAAGCTGTTTCTTTCTTAATTTTTTTCTGCGTCTGCCATTGAGCGGAAAAAAAAAGTAATGGGTGTTTTTGCAAGTTATCAACGTCCGGGATTAGCTCTTAGCGGCATTTACTGAAAGTACTAAGATTTTTGCACGACCCATTTTGAATCTACACCTCATCGAGGCACCCAAATTGCTTTCGTTGTTGCTGAACTGCCTCAGAAAGTTGACGCCGAGAATAGAGACATTGAAAGGACTAATTCTGTCTTGTGAACCCGCCGTTACATAGAACTACAAGTGTGTACGGAAGGGATACCTGAAAAGAAAGATCTTAGTGGCCTCAGAGGGACAGCCGAACGTTGGCAGTCGCTCTAAGTCTCACAGGAGTGTCGTCCCAAGTTCTTCTTGAAGCTTCGATCACCTCCACATTTTTTCTTTTTAAACTTGTGGTCGGTTTCCTTCAGAGTTTTTAGAGTGAAATGAAAGAAATGCAGGATTAGTGTTAACAAATGACACAAATATAATTGCGGAATTAACACACTCGAGCGAAGGCGCGAGTCCCTTTCAGGAACAAAAAGTATTCTCTGGAGGAGCATTGAAACAAGAAAAGGTGTGGGGAAGTAGGGGGGGGGGGGGGGGTTCAGTTTTAAGGAACATATTGTGTTCTAAAGATTCCTCTGCTCCGAGTCTTCGGCACATACTAAAAAGCGTGGTCCCGGAATCTACGTTTGCAAAACACTCTTGCCAGAAGGTGCGTTTTCGCTCTTCCAGACGCTAACACCATTCCTCACGGCGCTGCACCAGGCAAGAGTACACGGGTACACTTAGGATTGCTTACGTGTAGGAAGGCGAAAGCCAGTCAAGGACGACGTCTAGGTCGACGCCGAGGACGACGCCTGAGGACGAAATCTAGGACGACGTCAAGGGCAACGTCTAGGACGACTTCTAGGACGACTTCTAAGACGACGTCTAGGACGCCTTCTAGGACGACCTCTAGGACGACCTCAAGGACTACGTCTAGGACGACGCCTACAGGACGACTTCTAGAAATTCACTTTGATTCCTCTTAATTTCATTACCTCTAATTCGCCTGAGTGGTCACGTAAAAGCTTTGGTACCGTTCGTGTGGCCGACCTGTTTTCGCTCAAGGACTTTGAAGGTCGACTGAACGATGAGACATATAAGGCTTTCGCCTTCGTAATTTGTGTCTCTCGAATACATGGCTTGCACTGAGCGCGAACCTTCTGCAGCGTGCATTTTGCACCATCAACGTTGACTCCATCTTTCTTTCGGTTTCATTCGCAGCCGCGGCCACGACCGAGTGGGCTCTACCACACTTCATCCCAAGTCACTTCATCCTAGAACAGTTCATCCCAGACACATCATACCAAAGTCATTTCATCCCAGGATGTTTCACCCCAAGACAGCTCATCCCATGGAGAATCCATACCACGACATTTGATGTCAGAATAGTCCATACGGTTCAGCCGATTAAAGGGCCACTCACTTCATCCCAGGTCATTTCATTCCAGGACTGTTTATTCCGGACACTTCATACCAGAAACATTCTATCCCGAGACGTCTCATCCCAAGACTCTTCATACCAAGGACATTTCATACCTGGATATTTTATACCACAAAGTCTTCTGCTTAGAAGAAGAAGTTATAAACTTGGTTTTTCACGCGTGGAGCCGACATATGCACTTCGTCTTTCTTCTATTGTCACCCGTGCCACGTAAGACCGTCCTGCACTTGGCATCGAGCTTCCATCAGTCTAACAGTCCAGCCGGCCCGACTCACTGATTGTCATCGAGTTTCTTCATAGAACATGGCCACCTTTGTGGCTTCTCGTCGAGGATCGCCGAAGCTATGCTTCAAAGGTTACATCTACACCAAGCACAGGACCAACGACGAGTAGACGGCATGGAGATGCGAGAAATTCCAGGAGGGTGGCCGGGGACGAGCTCTTATTGCAGGTGAGACTATCGCTGTGACACAAGGCTACACTTGACGTCTACCGAGTCCAGAAAATGTCG